TTTAATTTCATTTGAAACAATTGGTATATTACAATTTATTATCAAGGAAATCTTCTAATAAAGTTATAGCAAATCCTACTTAAACTACTGGTTGTTCTGCAGGATAAATTAACTTTTCTTGAGATTGATCTCTCTAAAATCCAAAACCGACCTGATGTCCCCAAATTTCTTTTCCAATGCATCCTGATTTAAAATTCTGCCCTTTTGTGATTAAATTTTTTTCTTCGTTTAAATGACTACAATCTTCTGAGTGGCTATTAGAGTGGCTATTTTCTAGTAGGTGGGAACTTTGTGCTGCCATTAAAGCTGTCGAGACATTCATCTACCTACTTAATGAATAAAAGTAGCTGTAACAATGGATCTCTGTTCCAATTCACCTAAAATAATTATAGCCATTTTGTAATATATTATTAAACAAACACATTATACAGTGGTTCTCTAAATAAATTAGAAATTACTTACCTCTAGAAAGAAACGTGTACAAAAACGCGAGTTTGGTTCCAGAAATTTCCTCATGCAAAAAATAATATGCGAAAATAAACATTCCCCCAAAAAAAATTAATTAAACAACAAAATCAGACTCAAAGAAATAAACGGAGCCCAAATTAAATTAATTTTAATAAAATGAACACGTTCATAACAATATTCATAACACTGTCAGTTCTAATCGATACGTCGACGTCAAAAAACCAGCAACATCAGCGACCTCTTAGATTGGTGTTAGTTTTATTGGAGAGAGAGATAAATATATGTTAAGATCAATGTAAAAGAGAAAGTCATATATGTAATTTAAATGGACCACCGAACAAATTTTCCTATTAAGTTACACGTCTCTGTTGTCTCTGCTACCATCGACAATGATTATTGACAAATAAGTCCGTGTTGACACAGCGCCCCATGCAACATCATCCCCTCATTATGACGTGATTTTTTGGTGTACGTTACGTCATTTGATGACGTGAAAATAACGTTATGCTAACGTGAGAATGTCACAGCGAAATGACGTCATTCCATATCGTCATTTTGACGAATCGATATCACGTTAAAGTAACGTGTATATCGAGTGTCCTAGGCTAGGCAAAATAACGCCAATATCACGAATCTACCTAACGTCAAAGTGACATCTATATTGGGTATCCCAAGGTTGGATGGAATTATTAAAAATACTAAACAGATGAAAGTTATTTAATTAATCCAAAAAACACATGAAAAATATATAATATAAAACAAATTACACTGGTAAATAAAAAAGTCATGAGCAAGAAACCAGAAGGACTAAAATGACAAAAGAATATTAGAGGAACTTACACTACATACCTAAAATTGTAGATTTAATTGGGGGTGGGCGAGCATGCTTTACGATTTAATCATCTTCAGTATCATCGAATGACAGCTTTCTAGTTGGCACCTGTTTTCTTTTAGTAGGTACTTTATCAGCCTCAGAATGCAGATCTGAGGTAACTTCGACTTTTTTTAATTTGGTACATCACTTATCATTATCATCTAAAATAAACGAACTATTAAAATACAGACCACTGAAAATTCTTAAAGATAGAAACTAAATTGTGTATCTAGTTGTAAAATCTGAGGGGATTACTTCACCGGAGATTTAGGTAGTAGCCCTAAAAACTACCATATAGTCTGAGTTTATAATAAAAAGTTAATAAAAAAAGATCATATATCCTGTGATATGATAAAAAGTATCTAAATTAAGTGACCCCTACAAATATTTAATTTTTAAATAAACTATTAAAAAAATATCCTGAAAGAACCCATAATAAAAAAATAAAAGTATAACATTACTCACCGGTCTTATATTATATTTCTTTAGATATTTCTTTATAAAGGCGGCCAAAAGACTTGTTTTTTACGCTGCGTCAGTCATTTTCTGTTCACCTCACAACCGCCAGACCGTCATCATCCGGTTTTTCAAACTCAACAAATGCAATACATCTGTAAAATACCAAATTCGGTTTAATATACTTTAATATTTTGTCGCATTCTATTTTTTTACCTTTTTCTAAAAGATCTTATCAAATAAAGTACAATTTAAGAATGCACCACGGTCACGAGGTCACGACTGTTACGAGAATCATGGAGACATGACAATTGACAATATGACATTGCTAGAATATTTTTTAGTTTAGTACTAGATTGGTATAAATAATTGTACCAGATTTCATAAAAATGTACTAGGATCGGTTTCCTCTCTGGTTGCCTTAGGAATATTATCAATTGTTTAGGATTTATTAGGTCTTTACGGTACTTTTACTAGTTTAACTTATATTAATTACACTGGACGATAGCGGACAATGTACTGAATTTCGTTTCTAGCATACCTGTTACCTTTTGGATGTACTAGATCTGGTACAATTGTACTAGATTAGCCATACTCATTGCCATTTGAGATTCGAGGACTACGGAATTGGGTTAGCCATACGTTAAAAAGAGACAGGCAACAAAATCTTGAATGATTAATTCTAGAAAACGGAACAATACTAATTATCCATATCAAAACACAAGGCACCGTAATTTTACGGAAAAATCCGCCAACAGTCGAACGGGCTATTTTTTTTTATTTTTTTTTTAAACGATTTTAGACCTTCTTAAACACATTTCAAAATACTTTTTTGCCCTGCAAACGCTATAACATATTTTTTTCTTACCTTAAAACTATTAAAATGTGTCCTCCAATTTCGATGTTGAAAAAATTTAAACTACATCATTTTGATTAATTTCTTGTTATAGAAACTGCTAAATAATAACACTAGACCATCCATAATGCAATAAACCATCCAAATTTTTTCGTAAACAGTTTATTTTTTTAATTTAATCTCATGTTTAGGTTCGTCGGAATTTTTGAATTTTCGTAAAGACTATGACAATTAAGATTTGCAGTGTGACATATGTCTAAAAGAAATACAATGTTGCCATATCAATTATCTATTACATAGCAATGGTAATTTTTACCTATGCCCTGCGTTGTACCAGCCCAACCAATTGACTTCAGTATCAGAAAAATGTTATAAAACTAACGATTTAAAAAATATCCATATCAAGATATTCTTCCTCACCCTCATCGGCAGAGTACTCTTCGACGACCTAACCTAAACTAACAGTATACAATAAGAAGATGAAGCAACGACTTCTTGTAGGGTGGCGCGGCGGTACCAAAAAATTTTAACTTATACATGGCTACGCCGACCGGCATAGACTCCAACGGCCTGGACACAGCTCAAATTGAAAAACCTAACCTAACCAACCCTCATTAGCGTCTGGCCAGTGAACATCGATCCCAACTTTTAACGAACGTGTCTTGTATCGTGGGCATCTAATAATATGAAAATAAACAATAAGAAAAGGAAGCAACGACTTCTTGTAAGGTGGCGGCTTCGCCGCCACCAGAAAATTTTTAAACCATACCTGGCTACGCCGACCGGCATAAACTCCAACGGCCTGGACACAGCTCAAATTGAAAAAAAATTTTTTTTTGTTAAATATTAGATAAGTACCGACATGCCGTAATTAACGTACAATCATCATGAAATGAAATAAAAAGACGGTTGTCTGTGATTACTACAAATGTTTTCACTTCGAGATCCAAATTTACCTGCTGGCCAGACACTATGTAATTTTTCAGCCAACTTTCACTAACCGAATTATTTCCTGACTTATATGTTTTCTTACTCGATTTGGCAACACCGCATTTATAGAAACTAGCAGACACATCAATTGTCATTGAAAATAATTTAATGTTTATTTATTTTTCTAACAAACTAAAAATTAAAAATAAGAAAATTTAATCGTTTATGAAAAAATTTGGTACGGTTTATTGCTCTATGAATGGTCTTATATTGATATTTAGCTGTTTTTACAACAATAAATCAGTGAAAATGGTTTATTTCACATTTGTTTTATGATGAAGACCCGACAACAAATTTTAAGAATTTTAAGGATTTTAAGGTATAATTTTTGTTTGTAAATTAGTGTTAGCGGACCCAAAATTGTTATGTATAGTATGTTTCAAAGTGTCTAGAAACTCTTAATAACATTTTAATAGTTATATCCGCCGTTCGAGTGTCGGCGTATAATACCCCAATGAGGTTCTTTGCAATTCAACACTTACAATTCAACAAGTATTAAAATTAACGAAAAAATAACGTAATTCTAAGTGACATCTATTCTATGTCATCAATGCGACGTCAAATACACGTTCGGATAAATAAACTCTAAAAAATTATGTCATAATGACGAGTCTGTATTGGTGTCTTATTAACGTTGCCAAAACGACGTCAAAGTAACGTCATTAATTGGGATAATGACGTTTCTAAAGAGTAAATCCCAAAAATCACGGCACCTTGCTGCTTGGGGCTCGACAAACACTAAAATAAGTTCCGTGAAGAATGCAACACAAAATACATCTAACTGTATATCGTGTTGTCAAACGGCGATATGAACCGTTACAATCCAAAAAATTGTGGCTTGTGCCTAAATTACAATTCATCAGTTTCCTTTATTCATGGGGTTTCCTAGACGGCAAAATCCTGTCATTAATCTCGTAAGAATGCCCTTATGACTGGGTGCGTTCATTGAAGGGTTGGATATAACGCTTTAAAATGACTTGGTCCTAGGATCTCTTTAGTACAAGGGCCTTTTCCCGCTATCGACTTAAATATTATCCTTGCCTGTACTCTTTGTCATTCAGATGTGATTCTTCTTTTAGAGGTTCCGAGCACTGATTAACCTTTTAGGATTGTGTTCCCCTCTTATGATATTTGTATTTTGACCTCGCTTTTCTGTCCACTTTAAGATATCCTTGCCAGTATTCTTTGTAATGCCAAGAACATTTTCTGCTCTTATTCAGATTTTAGAGGTCCCCTGAGGAACTTTTAAGGATGTTTGTATTTTGACCTCCTTTTATTTTTTAAACTAAATTAATGTTAATTGTTATTACTTGTGATCACAAAAATAAATATTAATAAAATCAAATTATTTTTTAGGATCTTTTGCTAGGTGATGCTTCTAAAGCTAAAACTGCATTCAATTGGTCACCCAAAGTAGCTTTCCCGGAACTAGTCAAAGATATGATGGATTCAGATATTGCACTGATGAAGAAAAATCCTTTAGCTTAATTTACACTTATAAATAGAGAATCAACCAGAAGGGCATTTTTTACATTCCCATATACAGGGTGGGGCATAATGAAGGGGCGTTTTTAGATCGGCTAGTAAACGCGAACGGTTGGGGGTAGAGAGCCGCGCTTGACATCGTTGGATTCAGGAAAGCTTACCGTTTGTTATTAACAATGGTTATCTGGACAAGAGAGCATCGCGTGTTCGCAGTTGAGGAGTATTTAAAATCGGGCGAGTCCATTATTGTTGTGCAGCGACAACGCTACAATAACGGTCGTAACGGTTCAGTTCCTAAACGTGACACAATCAACAGGTGAGTACAGAATTTTAGAACGACGGCATCAGCAATTAATCTAAAACCTAAAGGCCGTCCCCGAAGTGTAAGGACACTAGCTTCCGTAGAAAGGGTGAGACAAGCAGTAATTCAAAGTCCACAGGGTTTTGTCCGAAAACGGGTTGCAGCAGTTCGAATGAGTAGTTGAACACTTCGCAGGATTTTACATCAAGACCTTCACTTTCACCCCTATAAGCTCTATGGTGGGAACTGAACCGTTACGACCGATATTGAAGCGTTATCGCTGCACAACAATAACGGATTCGTCCGATTTTAAATACTCCTCAACTGCGAACACGTGATGCTCTCTTGTCCAGATAACCATTGTGAATCCAACGATGTCAACCCCGGCTCTCTAACCCCACCCGTTCGCGTTTACTAGCCGAACTAAAAACGCCACTCCATTATGCCCCACCCTGTATTTTAATTTTATATTATAACAGATAGGTATAATGCAAAATCTGATTAAAGAAGAAAACATTTTTTGAAAATAATAACTTACCTTTGAAAATAGAATTAGCTGGCGACCGAAATGCTGTGGGTGTTTGTACTCAATAAAATAAGTATAGAAATAGCTGGATTATTCTTTACATTTTTTATTTTTGTATGAAAATTATGTAGGTACATATGAAAAGAGACAAAGAGGTAAATTAAATTAGTCTGCCATTATGGTATGCTATATTTTGGTTAGAATTAAGGGCTGCAAGTGGCTAAATTACGAATTCAAAACACTTAAATTTCACTGCCAACTCTAAAATTATGATTTGTCGAATGACTTTTCTGTAGCTACTTTACTAATAGATACAGATATAGAATATACTTAAGGCTAAATCATTATCTAAAGATACATAATTAAAATAAGATAAAAATGGACAGTTAATAAATAGATAACATAATTAAAAAATAAAAAAATAAATAGCTAATTGTTTATTAATATACAAAATAAACTAAAATTCAGATCAAAAAATGAAGGTACAGAACAATATAAAATAAAAACAGCTCAAACATATTTAACAAAAAAAAATTAACACGTATTAAAAACAATATATGAAGAAACTACCAAATTAAAAAATAGATTGAATATTGAACAAGTAAATAAGTACCTAATTAAAAAAAAAAAAAAATAATAATAATAATAAAAGTACCATTGGGTTCTAATTAACACAGTGCTATTCCTAAAGTGGCGCTGGGAAACAGTGCCAAAGCCTACACAGAACACGAGGCTAATAGCTTTAGTAGTCGATGCCGATGACACCAAATTAAAAAATAAAAATAAAGTACCAACTCAAATTGTATTGCACTATGCGAACATTTATCTAAAACCAACTCATTGGATATTGGAACCGTTCTATGACGTCATAAGAGCTAGTAATGTTAGTCTTTCTTGTCTAGTCGGATTTCTTAAATAACTTCACTCTTTTTAGACAAGGGAAAGTTCTTTCCGAGGTGGCTGTTGTCACTGATGGTGTATACAGATTTGTAGAAGTTTATATATATTTGGAAATAAAATGTTATTCCATGCATCTTATTATTTTTAATATGTATTTACACTTTCAAGTTTTATGTTTTGTTTTTCTGTTTTTTTTTTTGTGATTTTGTTCTGATTTTTTCCGTATTTTTCTGTTTTCTGATTTTTTCATTTTTTTTCTGATTTTTTCTAATTTATTTTTTCTGATTTTTTTACGTTTGCTGTCGAATTTCCTAAAATTTATTATTTGATAAATAATGAGGGGGTTCTGACCCCTAACCCCCCCTTAACTAGGCGTAATTGAAGAGTCCAATCAAAGATGATGAAGGCCATTAAAAAAGTTATTGTTGCTACATCCTGTATATTCTTATTATACGTTGATAAGAAAAAGTAATTTATTATGTAAAAAATAACTTCATTTTTTAAGTATGATTTTTAAAATAGTATTTTTTCTACACCCGTATTATAATAATGCACTTATATGCCCATAATCCGTTTCATAATGATACCCATTATGATACAGATTTTTCATTACGATACAGATTTTTCATTACGATACAGATTTTTCATTACGATACAGATTTTTCATTACGATACAGATTTTTAATCAATAGAAACCTACAATTTTTCAATCAAGCATGCTGTTTGACGTTTGTCCTAGGTTCCTATGTATTTGTTTTAGTTGTCAAAACGTATTAAATTTTGGTAGATAACTAAACTTCGTTAATTATAATATTAAAATGTCTGATATCAGCGATATAGAAGACTCCTCCACACATATCGGAGAAAGCAGAAAATACAGTACAAAATATTTTGCCGCAAAAATCTAGGGAAATACCAATACCCGAAGTAATACCATTAATTACAATTTTGTAGAATTTTTTATAGAAATACACGAGTAATTATTGTTATTGTGTTCAATACCAATATGAATATAATATTTATAGTTCTTGATTATTTATCGGGTGTAGAAAAAATAGCGTATGCAACTCTCATGTAATGGTTATTAATACACTCGCATAAACCATACGAAACTCGCCTTTGGCTCGTTTCGTATCCCGGTTAATGCTCGTGTATTAATAACCATCATTACATGATCGTTGCATAATATACTATTGTGTTGTCTTTAAAATTTTGATAACTACTGGTAGGCAGTATCTTAATATAGATACAACTAAGGAATTATAAAATATCATTAAATTTTTTTTTTGAAAGAATTTCCAGGAGAACATATTTGTTTATTAAGGTTCTCAGTCTTTTACTAACATGGAGAATAACATGTTCTGACAAACATTATGTATAGAATGTGAGTGAAATATTTTTATAACTCGTCTGTCTGTTTCATTTTATCTAAAATGCTATTTGACTGTAGATGCGAGAGATTAATTTATATTATTTGTCTGTTTTATTGATAATAAATGAGTAGTTAATTTGGGCAATGTAAAATTTAAAATTGGCATTTCCATGAGTCTACTGATAGTATTTCAGTCGCCAGCTGTTAGGCTATTATGTTTATATTAAGATAAACAGCAATTCTTTTTTAAATGTGTTTACATTCTTTTTACCTATGTATCATTTTAAAACAATATAAATTATTGATGTGATAAATTTAATAAAATGTATATTTATATTCCATGTCTACGTTTTTATTTAATTTTAAAATCTTTTAGAAACAAAGTGAAAGATCATTAAGATATAAACTGTGAACTGAATTTTTGTAAATTCACACACAAATTTCCAAAAAATCGAAATTATGAAATTTATCTCTAATCCTCCACGGTGAAAACAAATTAAAGCAAAATTGACGTATTCCGAGCTATATTCGTCCTTGTGCTTTGAAAGATTGAGAAAGGTTGGGTAAACCCATGGTTCGTAAACCACTATGGTGGACTACTCCACGGTAAACAATTAAATAATGCGATCGTATATCGTTACCATAATTAGCAAACTTCGTAACTCTACTTTTTGCCAAATTCACATTTTCTTGCCAACTTGTAAAGAAAAAACCTATATTACATGTTTCAAACCTCATAAATCCAGAATAATAATATTCTGCATTCTTGGTACCTTTCCGATAAATAGCTTTCAAATAGTTTTAAATATTTGTCTCCGATACCTATATCTTCCAGAGACTGCAACAGTAGACGATGGCTAACAGTATCAAAAGCCTTAGACAAATCGATGAAAATGCATAAACATGGCTTGCTATCATCAAGAGATCTAATTATTTTTGAAGATAAAGCTCGAATAGCATCCTGAGTTGACATTTTTTCTCTGAACCCATACTGTATCTCTGAAATAATATTTAATTTATCCAAATAGGAAACTAACCGAACTTTAATCATTTTTGCAAATATTTTTGAAATATGACTTATCAGTGATATTGGTCAATAATTATTTACCTCTGTAGATTCTCCTTTCTTAATAATAATTGATTTTTCAAACAAGATGGAAATATATTCCTTGATTCATGCATATATTAAAAATATGTTTCAGCCGTTGAGAAATAAAGTTTGATATTAATTTAATCGTTTCTGATTTTATATTATATCGACGGCCTTCTTATTCTTTAATTCCCTAAGTGCTTTTTGTATTTCATGTTCCTCAATAGACATAAAAAAGAAGCTATTTGGAATAAGTCTACGCATAGGCACATCATTTTGATTTGGTTTTATTTTTTCTGTCAGTTTTTTACCTACTTCTTTAAATCTGGTACTAAACTCGTTAGCTATTTCAATTTTATTTGTTAATGTTTTATTCGAATTATTTTTGATGTTTTCTATAACTGGTTTACCGTTTTAACCTGTCATATTAAAACAAGAAAACCGACAATTCTGAAGCAGAAGCGGATGATTAAAACGCACCTATTAAAAATATTGCGCCAAGATATAGGCAACACGTAATAAGGGATCAAAATGGCGGAGTTTTCCTTTTAAAAGGCACTCAGAAAGCTGCGCAGTGCGACCATTCTCCGTATAGTAAAAGAAAATCAAAGTATGTGCGTCACATACTTTGATTACTATACGGGGCAAGAGAGAGGTCCGACACGCCCAACATAGGGCGCGGCCATTTTGAACCCTATGACACAATTTATAGCTAAAGAATCAGATCGCTCACTCTGCGTCGGCACATTTTATCTCAATGTTCCAGTTTATACACTGCGCAACTCAGATAATACAATATATGACAACCGCCTATAATAAAACAGCAGTCTTATGCGTATCCTGAATTTGTATCCCTGAAGTGGATGTTATTTTGGAACTTTCAACTGGTCCGAGTGAGCTAACTGATTCTTTAGCAATAAACTGTGACTCCAAAAATAATATTCACTGACACTGACAACAGCAAACAAAATATCAGGTGTGTTTTAATCATCCGCTTCTGCTTCCGGAATTGTCGGTTCAGTCGTTCTAACCTGTCAGATTAAAACAAGAAAACCGACAATTCCGAAGCAGAAGCGGATGATTAAAACGCACCTATTAAAAATATTGTGCCAAGATGTAGGCAACACGTAATAAGGGTTCAAAATGGCGGAGTTTTCTATCTCCTTTTAAAAGGCACTCAGAAAGCTGCGCAGTGCGATCATTCTCCGTATAGTAAAAGAAAATCAAAGTATGTGATGTGCGTACATATAATGTACTGCTAGAACTGTCAAAAATTTTAAGTCACAGTACCAACTTAATTCTTTAAAATCAACTTCACCCACTTATTGATAGTCAATGTCATTAATGGCCGGACAAAGAAAAAATATATTTTCAACATTGTCCACTTATTGATGGTCGATGTCGTTAATGACCAGACAAAGATGCAAACAAAAAATATTATCAACATTGTCCACGATTAATGGGCATTTTCGATACTGCCCAGATAATAACGATATTGGCCAGCAAATATGGCTGCTGACGTTAGTGTCCGGTACATATCATCAATGCCCAATTTACAATACTGCCCGTAACACCTCTATTTCATTTTTATAATAGTTATACTTGGTTTTTTTAATTAAAGCATTTAGTTTATTTCTAAAATTTTGTACTCAATTCTCAAATCAATATTTTCTTGGTCATTGTAAATTTTTTTAAACATCATTTTTTTATTGAGTTTAACAAGTCATTAGTTAACCAAGGAGCTATCTTATTATTTTTTTTTGATTTGTATCGTGTTTCAGTACATTGTTGTATAGCTTTCATTGTTGTTTCCATAAACTTATTTGTTGCAGTATTTGGATCTGCCAATTGATATATGAATTCCCATTTTAAATGTTGAAATTTAGTTTTTAGTTTTTTATCGTTAATAAAAGTTACAAATTTATCGTTATTTTGTTTATATGTTTTATTATTTAAGATTATTTAAAGTATAGTTAGTTGTATAGT